ATTTAAATATCGCCCCTTTTCTTTTTTCAACTTTTTAGATTTTTGTGCACACCTGGGGACTGCCCCAAGTGTGCAGGAAAATCTCCCTGCCCCCCAGGTGCCCCCAATGTGCGGATTTAGAAATCTGCACACAGGGGGCGCCTTCGCTATTAGTATATAGATTGGTTTCATTCACACAGTCCACTTTTAGGTGTATACTTTGAAGTAATCAGGTACCCACCTAAAATGTAATATCTGCAGGGGTCATTTTGTAGAAAAAGAGGTGCAGGAGCTCATTAGTATAACTCATTAGTATAAATTATTTGCATATATCACCCCCTGACATCACCGGAAGTGTGTCAGAAGGCAACACCCACTGCTCAGGATCCACTGGATTGTTTTGGATTGCTAGCTATTGGGGGTGGGGGGGACGCGCAGATCTGCCCTCGCAGAGGAGGGAGAGCTTGTACCTGAATAAAACTTGGTTTTAAAGCAGGGGCAGGGCTTGTGGCATGTGCCCGCCCCCTGGGCTCTTTACTGCCGGAGCTCCGCTCCTGTGCTCTCCTGCAGGAAATGACCCCTGGGAATAACATTGTGAACAAGCAGCAGTGCAGTGCAGGGCACAGCAAGGAGACATACATGTAAAGAGAGGGGGGGAAAGCACTGCAGGTAGCAGTTCTGTGTCTTTCCAGCCAGTGATTCAAAGTTAATTTTCCCCCATCTTGTTTCTGCTTCCCCTTGTTATCAGTCTGAAACAGCTGTTTTTCCTTGGCTCAATAGAAAATCACGCAATGGCTCCTTCTGTGGTTTTATCAGCCAGCAGAGGGAAGCACGAAGCAAATGTAACAGAGCATGTTTGCCTGTTTCCCATTATAATTACCATAGTATCACTGCACAGAGCAGAGCTTTCTAGATTAGGAGTCTTTAAGACTTTTTGTCAGATTATTTTTCTGGGGATTCATCTAGGGACTCAAGATGTAAATGTTTAGGGGAATGCCTGAAACCGTGGTGTGTGTGTGGGGGAGGGGATGGGGTTTCTCTAGAAAAACAAGACATTTGGCGCGGAATTGAGATATGTGCAATACCAGGGCGCAGTACTAACTTATAAAATATAAACTTTCCCCCCTTCTCTGAAAGAATGTGTGCTATTCATGATTTTGGCTTTATCCACTTGGGCACTTTTCCCTGCATGGGTAAGAAGGAATGGGAACAGAAGCGTTCACACGACTTGTATCCAAACTCTAGCTCCAGTTTTTCCCCTCTTAGAGCTGGGAAAAAAATATGACCTCATTTTGTTCAGCTCAAAAGAGAAACTGCAGAGTAGCTATCAGTGGAATGTTCGTGTCTATGCTCTGCCCTTCAGGGAGGGGATGGAACTATATCTGTCCTTTCCAAAATGGAATCATTCTGGGGTCGAACTGGGAAAGGGGAGGCAAGGGAGTCCCATTCAGCTGACAGAAAAGATTTATTCTGGGATCTAAACCACTATGTCCTATCGATTGTTACATTTAATAAAACACACCTATCATTGACCATTTGTATATGTCATTTGTAATCAGGGCCAATTTTGGGCAGGAAAGCACAGGAACGGAGTTCCGGCTGGCTCCCGAGTTGGCCATGCCCAGCAGGAACTCATTAGCATAATAGGCCACACCCAACAGCAGAAACTCATTAGGATTGGCTACATTAGGGGTGTGTGGCCTAACATGCAAAGGAGTCCCTGCTAAAAAAAAAAAGGCCCTGGGTTTTGACAACAAACAAGGTAAACAGAATAAGAAGCAAAAGGTGGGTGTGGCTGGATGACCACACTTCTGGCAACAGGGGGCTGCGACCTAATATGCTAATGAGTGGTGGTATCAGGGGTGTGGCCTATTATGCTAATGAGTTCCTGCTGGGCTTTTCCTACAAAAAAAGCCCTGTTTGTAATTATTGTTATTTAGTACTGTTGACTGTATTATATAAAATATTTATAATGCACCATTCTTAGACAGTATTTTGAACGTGTAAAAGTATTGCCAAAGCATGTCACTCATTCTGAAGGAGAAAATATTTCACAGGAGTCACCTTCTCTGTGCCCAGACGCCTGTTTGTGATGTCTGAATTGAGCCTCCATGTTCAGAGTCAAATACACTTCTGAGCACCCGGGAGGCTACTACTTGCTGGCCACAGATGGAAGCAGACTCATGGACTAGAGGGACACTGCACGAGGGCTCTTATGGAATGTAGGCAGGGCTATTTTGGGACAGGAACACATAGGAACAGAGTTCCGGCTGGCTTCTAAGTTGGCCACGCCCACTACAGCCAAAACCTTTGCATGTGTGCCTACAGAGGGAAGGCCTGAAGAGCGACCCCCCCCGCGACTCCAAGGCGGGCAGGCCGGGGGGGGGCTGGATTTAAATGCCTCCCTGTGCCTTCCCTGGCCTGTCCAAGGTCTGGCTTGCTCGGGCTCCCCACAGCCGCGGGACACCCGGGCAAGCCAAGGGAAGGCACGGGGGTGTGGCCTAATAGGCTAATGAGGTTCTGCTGTTGGGTGTGGCCTAATATGCTAATGAGTTCCTGCTGGGCTTTTTCTACAAAAAATGCCCTGAATATAGGAAACTATAAGTCTAAAACTAGTGAGCAGCACACCTCTTTGTACCACGCTTCAAGGCCATTAAAGCACAATAGACATGGGTACTCTTTATTTCTATTGTTGCAATCAAAAACGTAAAAGCAAAAATCATACTCTTGCCTTCCAGAAAGTGTAATATCAGTAATGAAAGGTTGCTTGCATGCTGGTTATGTGAGGACAATATACAAGAGTGACCCGCTCATTAAACTAGGTGAGCTGCCAGTCCCACAGCTATCACTTAATTTTGATCAAAGTTCGAGGTGAACGATCAGCTCACAAATGAACTACCATAATTAGTAGTAGAGATCATACTGTACTCTAGCAGCTGCCGGGAGTAAAGTCTCCTCTCTAGGGGTGCAACTGCAATGATCTTATTGCTTATTTGTAGAGGAAATATCTGGTGTTTCGTTTCTGAAGACAGAGAAGCCAGGACCAAGCTTTCCTGGAAACTAAGCCATCCAGTCCTGCATATTAAGTATGAGAAAATATGCGATTCTCTTGTTCACACAAGGAACCATTTAAACATGCGACACACTCATGGATCAAGGCGATTAAGGTTGTACCACATGATTAATCCGAATATATAGGCTATGCAAGGCCTTCTGCCCTTTCTTTCCCAACTGTCAGCATTCTACCTTAGTCCCTCATTTCCCCATTCCAAAAACAGGATGCAAAACTATGGATTGATTTAAGATGAAGTCTGTGGAGGATGCAGATGGAGAAAGGTTGCAGAGAGATTCTCTGACACAGTCCCATTAGAAGGAGTGACTTTCTAAAGCATTGTCTGGAAACTACTGAACAAAGGGAAAGGCAGGCAGGACTTGGACTCTGGAAAGCAACATTAACTGGGCTACCTTCCAAAGAGAATGCCTGCCCATTGCTCTGGAGTCCAATTGAAGAAATAACATATAAATCTTTTTGAGTATCAGGTAAAATGACCCTCAAAATCCAGGGGGGAAAGCCCAAAAAACCTCTATGCCCTAAATATGAAAATCTTGGTAGACATTATCTGGACAATTTCTATAATCATACCATGAAAAGGAAATAAATAGTAAATACTAGTTGGTGGAATTTGGAATGAACATCTGAGGATGACAAAGAAGCACAATGTTCAAGAAACACTATCAGTCACCACCATCTCCAACATATTATGGGCTGTACTAGGCAGCATGATGATCAAGATACCACTAGATGGAACAATGGTCTTACGCAAATGGTGTGTCAGCAGCAACAGCATTTCCAATGATATATTTGTTGCTCATTTGAATCTGTTAAATAGTGGGTTTAAAATGGCAGAGGCACAGGCAGAGTGATTTCAACAAGCAGCAGTTTATTGCATCTCAACAGGAATTCTTTACATGGGGCAACTGCCCTAACTATATACACCTAAGCCACTCCCAGCTCCCATGCGATTGGTGAGTTCAAGTGGCCTCCGGGCTTTAGATTGGCTGGCATCCCTCAGGGGCCAATCCGCAGGCAGGTTCCAGAATCCTGCCTGCCTTTCTTCTGGGGCTTCAAGCTCCAACTAGGTGGCCTGCCCAGAGAAGTCCAGACAAGCCCAGACATGCCTCCGCACTCTCCATCTAGGTGGCCTGCCAGACAAGCCCAGGCATGCCTCCTTATGTTGGCTACTAGTACCCGCAGCAGTTAAGCCAGAGTGGAAGATTGCACAAGTCCAGACATGACAGTGTCAGTGTTTCTAACTCACCTGTACATGGTACTGTGATGTCTCATGCATAATGATATTGGAGTTGGAGTATTTCTTCCTTTGCTCTGTCAAAAAAAACAACAACAGAGAAAAGAAAAGAAGGCTTAGTTTTTATGGCAGCTAACTGGCACAGTATGGGTAAAACATGATATTATCTCAGCAAGCACATGGTGGAACACATACTTTGTATGCCAAATATCCCTCATTCCACCCTTCACATCAGTTGCAGGATCTCAAGTAGCAGACATGGCTGGGAACATCTAGTCCAGAGCAACTCATGCATGGCTGCCAACAGCAGCAGTCTTTCCTCTCGTTCAGAAGAGAATCCTGCTGTTCCTCACATTCTCCAGGCTGTAACACAAATGAGAGCTCTGGGGGTGCTTTTGGGCACACCTCTTACAAGAAGGCCTGGTTCAACTGCCCCTGACAAGCTGGCCAAGTGGACCAGTGAATACCTGTCTGCAAAGCATTTTGACCAGATGACCATGACAATAATCACTTGCCTGGTCATTTGCGGCTCATAATCAACTTTGGGCCATGCAGCTGGGAAAAGTTGCAAAGAATAGACCACATACAGACATGAACTAGATTAAACTGGTCTGCCCCAGGAGACTGGCTCCAGATGGATCCCGTTTTGGATTGGAGATTTTGAGAATCTGGACAGTGACTCTTTATCATCTCTGGCAGGGCCTAAAATAAGAGGTAACGACAAGCTGTAAATATCGCTGGCAGAAAGCTCATGTTGATCAGGTGGACCATGCCGTAGAGCTCACTGGGAAACCTATGAGGTGGTAGTGATAATGGTGAACGGAGAGGCTTCCTCTGTTACCGTTGGTTTGGATGCAGCACAGAGTTCCCATGGGCAGATTTCTGCCAATGGAATGTGACTTGTTCACCTCTCCCATCCCGTGATCATCCAAAACGTCCCCGGAAATACTGATCCTTTCCCAGCATCCGCATTTCAGGGGGAAGTATGGGCTGCAGCTGGAGGGAGGAGTCACACTCTGCAGGCAGAAATCCTTCCAGGAAAGGCTGTGCTGGATCCAAGCCCTCGCATCTGCTGAGCTGAATCACCTTTAGGATTGTGCACAATTTGATGACGCTGAACTGCAGACCGGAAGGTCGGTTAGTTCGGCAGTTCGAGACCCGAGTGCCGCATGACGGAGTGAGCTCCCGTCTCTGGCCCCAGCTCCTGCCAACCTAGCAGTTCGAAAGCAAGAAATTGCAAGTAGATAAAGAGGTACCACTTCGGTGGGAAGGAATCAGCGTTCCGTGCACCTTGGTGTTTAGTCACGCCGGCCACATGACCACGGAAATGTCTCTGGACAGCGCTGGCTCTTTGGCTCGGAAACAGAGATGAGCACCGCATCCCTAGAGTCGGATTCGACTGGCTTTCGAGCAAGGGAAACCTTTACCTTTACCTTTTAGAGTGGAGTCAACTGTGTACAGGGATTTGGTGATAAACCAACATTTTTGCAAGATCCTTTGTAGACAAACAGTGAAGTCTTAAACAGTTATACTGGTCTAACTCCACTGAAGTCAAGTTGAGGATTGCACTGAAAATCTTTCCAGTTTGATCCAACCTGAACGCAAGGCTGAATGCAGACCAGGTAGCAGAAGTGGTGGCAGCACCATCTAGTCATATTGTGATGGGTAAATTCAGATTGATCCTCCAGATGGATGTAACGGGATTCTTGGGGTTGTGAAAGCCATCGCCTGCAAGTTGGATCCTTGCTCCCTGTAGCTGATAAAATCTTGGGGCTCTGCTGCTGGATGTCTGGGCTATACCATCCTTTTCTGCGTTCCATAAACGGTGTAAAGAGACTCTCTTCAAAAGAGCTTTCAATTAAACGTTGCTGTATCGCTTCCCTCTTCTTAGGCTTAGGTATATATAGTCTGAGGCTTTAAAATTGTGTGTATTCACTGTTGTAAACAGCCCTGGGTACATGATATGTAGAGAATGATGATATGTAAGTATTTTATAAACAAATATGGCTACCATAGACAAGCATTCAGAGTAGTAACAAAAATTAACCCTACTACCAATATTCCTGACCTGGCTGGCCCAGCCTAGCCTGACTTCGTCAGATCTCAGAAGCTAAGCAGGGTGGGACTTGGTTACTATTTGGATTTGCAAGGAAGTCCAGGTGTCAGCTATGCTGCCAAAAGTATGGTGTATGTTTCTAATTGCTGTGCATTCCTTCCCATGCGCTTAATTGCATCTTAGCTGTAACGCATATCCACTGGAGGAGTTGATGTGTCTGGAATTCGTGGGAAGCTTCTCACCCACCCTGCTTCTGCAGCTGTTAGTTCTCAGCCTAATGCCCCCGCGCGGGAACCCATCTAATTGGGTACTACGTGTGGGGTGTGTGCATACGAATGCCCTATATCCTATTATGCACATAGGTAACCCGCCATTCCTAACAGTGTTCATGTTACTGCATCTATGGCTTTCCAATAAAAGTAAAACCTTCCTAGAAGCGTGTACTTCGTTGTTTTGCTGTGGATCCTGACACCAGGGTTGTGGCACAGAGGCAGGCCATGTCAAACCACCTCTGAACATCTCTTACCTTGAAAACCCCACCAGGGGTCTCCATAAGTCCGTTGCAACTTGACAGCAATTTTCACCACCACCAATATTTCTAAACGTTACTTTTAGGGCTGCATGTTGGAGAAGAATGAAATGATTGCTGCAAGGAACACTGAATTTCATATCTAGGACCGCCAGCGGTGGCTCAAGAAATTCCTGGAGATTTGGGGTTGGTTCTTGAGTAGGGAGCTCAAAGCAGATGTGATGCCCTCTGAAGCTGCAATTTCCTGCAGAGGAACTGAGCTCTGTAGCCTAGTAAAGGTAAAGGTTCCCTTGCTCGAAAGCCAGTCGAATCCGACTCTAGGGTTGCGGTGCTCATCTCCGTTTCAAAGCCGAAGAGCCAGCGCTGTCCGAAGACGTTTCCGTGGTCATGTGGCCGGCATGACTAAACACCAAGGCGCACGGAACGCTGTTACCTTCCCACCAAAGTGGTACCTATTTATCTACTTGCAATTTCTTGCTTTCGAACTGCTAGGTTGGCAGGAGCTGGAACTAGAGACAGGAGCTCACCCTGTCTTGCGGCACCCGGGTCTTGAACCGCTGAACTACTGAACTACTGACCTTCCACAGCCTGCAGTTCAGCGTCTTAACCACTTGAGCCACTGTAGCCTAGAGATCGGCTATTATTCTGGGAGAACACGATGCCCCACCTTGAGGCTGGTATCCATATTCATACCACCTTCAAGTATCCGAAAACTACACAGTGCACAACTGCAGATTCATCCTTAAAAACAGATATTCCTGACACAGTGCAATATCTCCTTGTACAGTTCCAGCACCAATACTTTGGGCAGGTTGAGCAGAGTGACGGGTAATTAAAATATTCGTCATGAAATCAATGTAAAAGGAAAACATAAACACATGGCCTCAAACTGACAGGTGCTGATACAGGTAGGCCAGTTATTCAAATTAAAATGTGACAGGGAGCAACGGCGCGCCGCTAACGGGATCCGTGGGATCCCGCCGAGGCGTTTCTTTTTTGGCGCGGCTTTTAAAAACCGCGCTTCTCCTCGTTTTTTCTCTGCCGTGTGGCAGGGGCCTCAGAACCCCCCTCCCCACAACGGACACTCTGTGAGGTGGGTGGGGCTGAGAGAGCTCTTGACAGAAACTGCCCGTTTTTCAAGGACAGCTGTGCCAGAGCTTGTGACTGACCCACGGTCACGGTCACATTAGAAGGTGCAAGTGGAGGAGTGGGGAATCAAACCCGGTTCTCCCAGATTAGAGTCTGCACACTTAACCACGACACCAAACTGGCAATATTGGTCATTACTGGTGGGGCTGCCCACAAATTCAACGATTCTGGAAAGAGGTAACAGCCCAAATAAATGAGATTACATCTCAGACCATTTCTTTTAAACCAGAAATTATACTCCTAAATTGTTGGTATGAATCAATAAAAGTCAACACTATGGAGACTGTCTCGACACTACTCGCGACAGCCAGAATAACGATAGTGGCAGCTTGGAAGTCACCCTCCTCACCCTCTTTAGCAGTGTGGCATGACAAATTATGGGAACAATTCCTAATGGCTAAAATCGCAGACTCAGTACAAAGAACACAACAGACAAGCACAGCCCCACAAATGAGATTTGTTAAAACGTGGTCACCAATACTAAACCAGAGGTCATTTCGGGGGGGATCGCGGGGGATCGCAGTTCCCCCGGGTGAGGTGCAGGGGCCTGTCCCGTGCTCGCTTAGCTGGTCCCTTGCCGAAATGTTATGTTAAATAGTTAATAAAGTGGCCCTTGTTTACTTCCAAACTGTTGTCTGTCTCGTTATTCCACCTGGGGGGGGGGGCAACATCTCAGACAATTTCTTTTAAACCAGAAATTATACACCTAAATAGATGGGACGAATCAATAAAAGACAACACTATGGAGTCTGTCTCGACACTACTCGCAACAGCCAGAATAACGATAGCAGCAGCCTGGAAGTCACCCTCCTCACCCTCTTTGGTAGCGTGGCATGACAAATTATGGGAACAGTTCCTAATGGTAAAAATCACAGATTCAATACAAAGAACACAACAGACAAGCACAGCTCCACACATGAGATTTGTTAAAACATGGTCACCGATACTAAACTATATGTCAAGGCAAGAAATACTCCCGGCAAACACCTTATATCACAAGTGGTTATACCTGTGAGAAATACAAAGCAATCAGATCTGCTTACAAGGACAAACTCTGCACGCACATTCAAAACAATAATTATAACACATTTCAAAACCAATATACCTAGAGGAACATTTTATCACTTACTAACTAAACGTAGGACTGAACTGGGTAACGAAGAATAACCTACCTGCATCTTACTTGTATATGTATTTTTTATTGTTAAAATAATAGAATTTTTTTTAAAAAATGCAGTTTATGTTTGTGATTGGTTCCAGATTCTTACAATTCAAATCCTATTGCATTGTCTGCTGGATTCACCAGACTGTTGACTGTATTGACTTACTCTGTGAAATCCGCC